TCAAACACAGTGGCACCCTGCCCACCTCTTTCCATTTTTGGAAATGCTCCCTTATGCACACTTACTTCTATATATATATATATGACATGAATAACCAATCGGAAGCTCAGAATGACCCCCTAATGGCTTTCTCAGCCATTTTAGTGGACTTGGAGCTATTTCTTTCGTTTGAAAGTGTGTCTTTAGTCTGCACCAAATTTCATATTTTTTTAGACCAAAATACAGCTTAGTTACTAAGCTTGATTAAATTATAGTGAAATTCTATGGTATTAATGTAGTAATTTATGATTTTATAGTTATTCAAATGTATATATAAAACCTAAAGAAATATATATATTGCTTCATATCCTCCACGTGCAATTTTTTTAAAGGCTACATCAAACAGCAACCAAATACAAAAGTCGTAACTAGAAGAGATAATTGTTTGCTTTACTTCTTTAGTTACTGTTTTATGTTTTAAGAAAAATAAGTTTAAGAACTTATTTTAGAATAACAATAATCTATATACATATATAATGTATAATAACTGAAATTTGACTGTATTTTACAAAATACTACTCTACTAAAACACAACCAAGACAAGATACTTTGTACAGACCAAAGGTCACCTATATGTTATTTGATACGGTAACATGAGTGCACGTGAGCCGCATCATTGTAACTTCTGCATTGTTAGCCAGACACGGCTGAAAGGTCAACATAATAAAAATAATAAATATATATATAAATGTATAATATTATGAGATTTAAGCTATTTCACCTAAACATTTATGTTTTCATGTTACAATTTGTGTTCATTTTAGAATGAAAGAGGCATAATTTACATTTATTTCCTAATTTTTTATGATAGTTGAGAGATTGGTCAAATCTAACACTTTTATAGGCACTGTGTCTCACTCAGACACTTTACTTGTACATGCAGCAATGTATATATCTGACTCATCAATCTTAAGTGGTTCAATTACTTATTTCTTCATTTCCTTGAAGTCCTTTACTTTATCTACAGTAATAACTTATTTTTTGTATTCCTGTAACATCTAAAATAGGTAACAGAGCATTCTCAGAAACTCCCACTGTTGCTACATTAGTTGTAGAGTAATCTGGCCTGTATAGTTGTGCATTTGTCCAGTATTTTTCACTTTTACCCGTATTCACTTTATTGCTTTACTTCTAACTACTGGTTCTGCATTTGTTTAAACTGTTATTACCAGACCTAGTTTTCTTCTTTTTTACTAACACTAGCCATATATTTCTTAGGACACTTAAATCTACTACCATTCTGACTTTTTCAATGTTGTTATCACTGTGATGTACCGATTCATGCATTTGGCTGTACGACTTTGGTTGATCGTGAGCCTATATTAGCACATAAAAGTTTACTTCCTTAAAAAAGTTAAGATACTTATTTCTATGTGTAGCTTACTTCACTGGTATGTGGAATGAAATATTTTTAACTTGACTTGTTGCAGGTTCTCTGGAGAATCTGGAATCTTTGTACTTGAATGACAATCCCAATCTACATATTCTACCATTTGAGCTGGCTCTCTGTAATAATCTTCAAATCATGAATGTGGAAGGCTGCCCATTATCTCAGATCCCACCTGAGATAGCCAGTGGTGGGTCGTCTTTAATCATACAGGTAGGTTAGTGGTTCGACTTTCACTGTCTTATCAAGACTTTAGTTTTTATTGGCATTTTATAAAGATAGGAAGAAACAAGATGGTTGGACTTTTTGTGCCAATGATTTAATTTCAGAGATATAATAAGAACTTTACCCTCCTGATGTTTTTAAAATGGAAAACATGGGGTGGGGGGTGAGAATTTTCTGTTATTCCATAAATTTCAGAATTTTTAATGTCGCCAAGAGTTCTTCAGGAGATTTTTAATAATCTGGAAAAAATCTCTGGAGAGATAATGCTTTATTGCCTATTTAACTATTTTAGAAACACACTCAAAAATAAAACTGAGATATTGTCCATATAATTACCACAATTTTTGAGTAATCAGAATCTTGTCAATATATTTTACTGATCGCACCAAATGGTGTGTTTTTGTTGTGCATTTTTTGCATAAATATTTCATTTACAATCTACTCATTAGTTTAAAAAGTGGCAAAGGTTATTGAGTGGCATGATGAAACGAGGGCTAGAAATGTTAAAAAGTTTTGTTAAAAACTAATTCAGATAGAACTGGTTGGGGAAAACAACTAAAAATTATATTTATTGTTAAGAGCAAACCACAAGTGGTGAAGTCAGAAATGTGAAAATTCTTTTAAAAAAGGCAGATTTACGATGAAAGCTTTATGCATAATATGCAATAAACTTATAACTATGCAAACACAGGATTACCGTACAATTTTAACAAACTTATAACTATGCAAACACGGGATTACCGTACAATTTTAACAGACTTATAACTATGCAAACATGGGATTACCGTACAATTTTAACAGACTTGTAACTATGCAAACACAGGATTACTGTACAATTTTAACAAACTTGTAACTATGCAACATGGGATTACCGTACAATTTTAACAGACTTATAACTATGCGACATGGGATTACCGTACAATTTCAACAAACTTATAACTATGCAACATGGGATTACCGTACAATTTTAACAAACTTATAACTATGCAAACACGGGATTACCGTAAAATTTTAACAAACTTGTAACTATGCAACATGGGATTACCGTACAATTTTAACAAACTTATAACTATGCAAACATGGGATTACCGTACAATTTTAACACATCGAACTATTAAAAAGTACGTAGAAATGTCACATGACTAACAAAATTTTTCTAATTTTCCAAACTTTTCCAGGAGAGCATTCTTAGCATTAGACTCAGAATATTTCAGTCTGTTTTCTTCCTTTGACATTCTCATACCTGTAAATGTAGACTCTCATTTGGCGGTTATTAATAATCTTAACTTTAAAAAATGCAATATGTATTTTTCGACAGACCAAAAGTAAAAGAAATGTTCAACAGTAAAATAGGGTGGAAAAAAAAGAAACTGAAGAAACAATCCTTATCTGGAATTCTTGAAAAATATACTTTTATTTTGGAGAATGACTCTGTCAGAAGTCTTTTTATATAGATGTAAATATTATATTTGTAGTTTGGATACTTTAATAACAGTAGGGTTTAAGCATTATCTGTTAGAATAGAAACGACCTCACTATACTTGTGTCGGCTTTTACGAGAATTTGTATTGGTTTTCTGTATGAAGGACGTTTAATATTTCCTTTTAATAGTATAAGAAATATATTATCTTGATTCTTTTTAATATATGTATGTATATCAGTTATTTTTTATATATGAAGTGGTACAATTCAGTTTCAATATAATAATTCATTAACTTTTTTAAATAGCAGTATCATGGCTAGACAACAATGTTAGACCAGTTACAAGAATACTGTATCTTTACTGAACCCTGAGTTCATGTTATGTTTCACAGAACATTTGATTAGTAACTTTCCTTCAGTACCTTGGAAATCTTTTAGAATGTAGTGTTATTATTTTTATATGTCAATATACAACACCTTTTTTTTTCTAATATTTTGTTCTAAATATTCATTATAGTATCTGAAGATGAAAGGACCCTACAGAACCATATGAAAGAATCTATAGGATAAAATTGTCATTGATCATTGATTCCTTTTGCTGGGAGCTCACATACATAGTATGTGCTTGTGTCTCTACATGTAGAGTTTTCGTATGATGCCCTCTGGAGGTGGAGACCTTGCTACATGATGTCCTGGTCAGACCTTAATGAGACCAGAGTGGAGGAGTGGCAGATATCACTCTGTGTGTAAATATTTAGTAGCTGGCTGAATCATACAGAATTTGTTTTGCAGGACTAGTAATAAACAAAACACGCCACATTGTTTTCAACCCGCTTAATCCTGTGCATTAATTAAACTTTTGGTTTGTGTAGAGCTTCTGTAAGACGTAAACAGCTGACTGCATACACACAGTTAACCACTGGATAGTTTCACGACCATGTACATATTAAATGTGTGTGGATGTATCAGTGTACAGTTAATAGTTAACTATTCTAGCATCTCTGTGCTTGCTATTTGTCAAATACAACATACTTAAAGGTCCAACCTGAGCATGTATGAAAATCACATAATGAATTATGTGTCAGTAATTAAAGTTGTATTGTTATTATATTAATTACATTTGATTGGTGGATACTTGGACGTGAACTTCTCATTGATACATTTGATTGGTGGATACTTGGACGTGAACTTCTCATTGATACATTTGATTGGTGGATACTTGGACGTGAACTTCTCATTGATACATTTGATTGGCTGGATACTTGGACGTGAACTTCTCATTGATACATTTGATTGGTGGATACTTGGACATGAACTTCTCATTGATACATTTGATTGGTGGATACTTGAATGTGAACTTCTCATTGATACATTTGATTGGTGGATACTTCAACGTGAACTTCTCATTGATCGATAGACTGAATGTGCTTGCAGCATTTGATTATTAGTTTTTTTGTAGAAATACAACAAACACACAAACCTGAATCCTGAACTAACAAGGTGTAGCAAAGCTATTCAAAATGTATGTTTGTGGTGCTGTTTTGTCAAAAAAGTGTGCCCCCATATAATGTTTTTTTTTATTGTTCCTGTAAATCACTTTTTCACCAACAAAGTATACCAGAGATGGTTTTAGCCTTTTTACTTTTATTTTGAAAAGGGTTGGTTGGTAAATGTAACTTACTATTTGTCAACTTCAGAAGTTGCACAGGTTGTAATGTTTCACTTTTTACTTGTTTTATCAGTAGACCTGATATACAAAGTAAAAAGTTTGAGACTGTACCAGTGTTCGTGTGTTTTCCGATTAGCTCGTAATGTATGTTTAAAAAGTTTGACATCATGCTTGTGTTCATGTATTTTCCATTTAGCTCATAATGTCTGGTAAAACGTTTTTTTGTGACTGTGCCGGTGTTTGTGTGTTTTCCGATTAGCTCGTAATGTTTAGTAAAAAGTTTGAAACTGTGCCTGTTCATGTGTTTTCCAGTTAGCTTGTAATGTCTGGTAGAATTGACATCTTCAATTTTATGTACTCGTTCAGTAAGTATTAGATGATTGCAATTTTAAGATCGTTACAAAATGTGACTTGAATGCTACATTTAAAAAAATGTATTTTGAAACTCCATGTGGTTGAAATGTGATACTGTGTTCAGAAACTTTTTAATTATAAAAAAATGTACCACAGTACTACTATTTAACTTTTTTTTTTTAATGATCAGTAATTTATAAAATACTTTTATCTGTTTCATCACATGTTGATAACTTTTACAGAATTGGTAAGAAAATAATAAAAGATCAATTTGTTGAATTTCAAAATACATTATGACATGTTGGGTATTTTTAACTTTTAAAAATGTATTACCATTTTCAAAATGTTTGAGGTATTCTCTTTAGATAGAGAATAAGAGTTCTTAGATATTATTTCTATAAAATAATTTACCCTTTCTTCATTTGTTAAGTTTACTAAGTTTTTCCAGTAAATTTATAACCTTAAAGTTCCTTATCCTGAAGAAAGACAACCATAGGTGGGTAAGCAATAACTTTACGGACTAACAACATAAAATCTGTGGTTCAATTCCCCACAGTGGACAAAGTGCAGATAGCCCTTTGTGTTAAAACAACTACTACAGGCTTTGACGAAGTTCTGATGAAACTGAGAGGTTTAGCAGTAGTACATAGTGGATCAGTTCAATATGGTATTGAGTATCACGAGTTAGAGTGGGTGTGTGGGTGTTTTGTCTGTACCGTGCGAGTTATAAGAAATAGTATGTGTTCTCGTACTGCTATAGGAATATACGTGTTTGTTTTTCTTTGCTGCCTGGAGTCTTGTATGTTGTTGAGTAAACTCTAAGGGCTGCCAGTTGCATGTATGTGTGTGTGTGTGTGTGCAAGTTTGTGTATAAAACAAAAAAAGATATCTACCTAATTAAAACTGAATATGTTTCTAAGTAAATTCGCGAAGCTCCATTCTGTAACTTTTATCTCCCTCTGTTCCTATCAGCTGCACAAATGCAGTTGTAGATGACTGCAATATTATCTTTATGCTGTAAATGAACTTAACACTTCAATAGTGTGATTAAATATTACTCTACCAAATGTAGTAAAATGATAGATCCCTGTTATAGAAGAGCTTGAAGTTATAAATTCTTTTATAGAAACTTTCAGCAATTCTATTTTTGTGCTTACAATTATTTCTGCAGAACTTGAGTAATTTACAGATGCCGTTTTCAGGTTATTACCTGTTTGCTTGGACTTTTTATGTGTATGTGAAATAGTTATT